ATTTGTTGTGGATCAGGAGGCGTGGTGCTACGCCTAAGTGCGGACCCGCGATAGCAACCTGCTCCTTCCTTCACTTCCAGTCTTTTCGATTATGTCTCAACACCTGGGCCCAGTTGGGGAGGAGGCGAGAGAGCAGCAGATTCTGCGTTAGTCTATCCTCAAGATAAACTAATCCAAGCGTAAGTCACCCTGCCCGCCTCACACTGCTGTTGAGCACACGCTGAACAATTACATCACCGCATTCACATTCACTGTGACCTCTTGTTATGACGGATTGCTCCCAACGCGATTGCTTGAAGTTTTCTGTCTCCTAACCCGTAATTTGTTCTGTTTTGTCAGTTGATTTCTTCCTTTCCTAAGGTATTACCATTGCCAGTTTGTGGTCATGTCGGTACTCACCAAGCAACGAATGCCTTAAGGTTTGCGGGCTTTGCTTTGCGTACTTCTCATTATGGGTTATGTCGGCGCCCAGCATAAAACAAAGCCCTTTAACGAAACATAGGCCGTTTAGGTGGACTAAATTCGTGTAGAGAAAGTCACCAACTTGTGTTAAAATTATGTTGTATAGATAGTTTCTTGCAGTTTATTCCCCTGATTTTAACGATAAAGAGTACATTTAAGAAATATAGAACAGAAGGGTCTTCTACGATTCCTCCAGGCCAATTGTGTACAACCCAAACCAAAGGCGATATTGTACTTCATCCATGTGATCCAAATAACTCGACCTGACATGGGTCCTCCTCAAAATTTCCATTTATGCGACTCCAATAGTCGTCGAGGGTGTTTATGTGCCTTCCTGACGTAACGTTCACAAAGTCTGGTGGACAGTGTAATGCTCGTATCGATCTGGCTGAAGGCGGCTGCAAACGTTTAGCTCTTCCGTTACAATGGCACTGGCCTTGGCAACCCATTTCGTGATTATCGGCTTCAGTGCCTGTCAGCTTCTTTTGCTACCTATTCAAAAAACTTTTTCTTCTGTTTCGTATGATATATACCGGCAAGCCAAAATTACCTTTCCTAACTTCAGAAATTGTACTTCTGGTCGCGTGGGAGCGTTTCGCCAAATTATACCTCTACGCCTAGGGCGCTCATCTGCTTCGTTTGCATCGTCAGGGCCCTGGAACATACATTGAGGAAAACTGCACTTCATTCCACTGCCCTTGTTACGTACACTCTAACGTCTTCCCTGCATTTTTTGACTCTTGTTCCTCTCATGAAGGTAAGGTATATCTGCATAGCCATTCCGACTGCCAGGCTGCTGTTTTTAGACATGGACCCACTTCGCAGGGACTTCCTCCGGCCACATGGGTTACACCGGAGCACATAGCCGTCCGTGGGCGACCTTAGGTATTGTCGCCTCATTATCTGTCAATTTATCTGCCTATTTGTGTGTCTGTTATCTTTTTATTTGTGCGTTGTCTATTAGTTTTCAACTGTCTATCTATTCATTGTCTCTCTGCTAATTTACCTAATCCTTCAGTTATTTCTCCACCTATTTATTTACTCATCTACTAATGTATTTATTCACTAGTTTTTCTAGATGTATCCGTTTTTTAACTTGAATATAGATAGATAGATAATTTTTTATTAAAGACTCGTCGGGGTCCCATCAAAGCAAGTTAAAATAAATTTACATGCGAGTTTTAGACGAGGTAGGCCGAATCTTTACAAAATGCAATTCATGATTTCTGAATTAGTAGTCCATCGAGAAACATGATGATTGAGGGTTGAAAAAAACTCCTTACAAAAAGTTAAAAATGATTGGATTAATTTTACCACATTTTGCCTTATGATCTTCACATGCGGAATGAATCACTGTCATATTTAGTTTTCTTAATTTCTAACTATAAGTGCTAAAAATATAAATGTCTATAAATGCCTATAAATGTTTATATAAATGGCTATAAATGCGTTGTCTGCCGCCGTCTTTCGAATTGACTCTGGAAGATATCCTGCTCGTTGTCCAATTCTGATCCTGCAGTTTTTGATTGAACAGAACGTTTGTACCGGATGCTCTCACAAAAATCGGGATTTATTTTTTAATAAGACTGTCTGACGACCTTAAATATATTGCCCCGCCGCTCTGACTCTCTTCAGTTTTGCCAATAGTAGTATCTTTTCATCCGACTGGCAGAATACTATCATGGTTGTGATCCAACTTCGTGGTGGTTGTTTCGTATTTCGAACTTTCGAGACAAAGTGAAATCGGACTGCAGCTCCATCTCGGAACGAGTCTCAACTGACGCGTCTGCATATCCGTGTTCGAGTCCATTTACCTATGTAGGAGTAATATAGATGGCGTCTCCACGACTATTGCACTTATTTCTAACAGATTTGCCCCGAGGCCTTTTCTTATCCGCTGAGGTCGCACCTACGTTCAGCTAAGCCCAGTGTTCCCTTGCCCAGTCCACTTATTGCGGTCCTCCTCTCAAGCCATCCTCTCGATTGGATTTCCACCTTATCTTCCGAAGTACTAAAACAGGATATGTCTATTCCAGCACCCTTTGGGCGCTTCTATGAACACAGAAAAAGGACGTAAGCCAAGCTCATCCATTTTAGTTACCCTTTGACTAGGCAGTGGTTGCTCCTGCATTCGAAAACGCGCGTCGCAGCAACCCCGTTAGCTGAAAAACACGTGGCTCAGCAGTTACCCACAACGTAATAGAGGGCGCTTTTACCTGATTATTTGAGGTTGGAAAGATTATAGATGATGAATTGTTGAGGAAATATGTTTACTCGGCTTTTGAGTAGAAAAAATGCGCAGCAAATGTGCTTTAAGGAGACAGCCGTAGACTGCTATATGCTCAGTGTTCGTGTTCCTGCCAGTCTTTCCCGCCTTAGGGCACCTATTGGGGTGTTAGAGAAGGT